AAATAAAAATATAATTTAAAAAATTATTTCTAAAACATTTTCCTCTTTATAGTGGATTAGTTTGTTTTCTGGATTGACGTGTGCAACTGTTGTGTTGGGCCTAATTATGCATGCGACGACAGGTTGCACGGTTTTGGATTTTGAAGTTCCATAAGAAAATGGTAACAATTAACACGCCGTTTTTGGACAATATTGAGCTAAGAGGTTCAATTTGAAACCATTTCTTCTGATCAGTACCTGAAATTTTGGAGTGTCAAAAATTGAAAACCTCAAAGAAACTAAATTATTAATCATCAACTACACCATATATTCATGGTTCAAAAATCCAAAGCTTTAACATTTAAGTATTATACACCACAAGTTCATCAAGGTTTCAAAGTTAAGTCTTCAAATCTGTTTAAATCTGAGTATTTATACTCCGAGTTCAAATCAAACTTCTCAATATTTGTTCGGGATGATACAAAAAAAAACTATAGATAATGGTATCAAATTTAATTCTTTCCTTTTATAGTTGTTGGTATCATTTCATACTTGTCAGTATGATCGATACATATCGATTTTTGCATTATATCGAAATGGTACAAAATTCAATTTCGTTTTGATCAAATTTCATATATTTTGGTCAAATTTCAATGTATTAACCGATATTTTGGCATACTGACTAGTACACCAAAAATTGGGCAGTACAGATCAATTCAAATTTAAAAAAGATAAATTTCATTTTTGGTTCTCAACTTTATTGTTTTGCATAATTTTCATCTTTTAACTTTTTCATTTACTTTTTTAGTCTATCAACTATGAAATTTTTTTTTTTTAGTTTTTTTATCAATTACTCCATTAAATTTATCTAAATATGTACATTTTTAATCCTTTAACTTAAAGTGAAGATACAAAAAATATGTATATATTAAAAGTTGAGAGAATAAAAATATGTATTTTTTGTCCCTTCCAAAATTATTTTAATCCCTTTTGACAATTTCATATTTAAACTTTTAGTTTTTAATATCCATCAATTGTTGCTCTTTCTTCTTATTAATGTTTTAATTTGGCTTTTGCATTCTTGCTATGTTTAAAAAGACATGATTTCTCTCCTTGTGAAAATATTTTGTATTACGAATTACATAATATTAAACTCACAATATTGTTAGGATTTATAATATTATCTTAATATTCAAAAAAAATTATAGATGTTTTATAAAGTTAATCATTTTAAATTTGTTTTCAATTTATAAAAATAAAATAATTTTAAATATTAGTTTATTATATTATTATTTTAAATTTTGATATTTAATTTATAAAAATATATATTTATAATAATAAATTCAAAATAATAAGCAAAAATTTTCAAAATTTGATACTTATTGTTTCGATTACAAAATTGATACGTAGATCGAGAAAGTATTGTAACTTAATTTGTTTCCTTTGCCAGCTTTTCACTTTTCGAGTCCACCAAGAAAAGAACCATTTTGATTCATAACTTCGAAAAAATTCAAAGAAAGGTATATAATGTTGGCAAAAAAATGATTTTTTTTTTAAAAAAAAAAAAGGAGGAGAAATTGGGGATATTTGGTGAAGGGTAGTAGGGATACAACTGGAATAGATCCCTCGTGGCGTGGGTGGAGAGGTGATTGCTCTCTACTCGCTCTATTGCTCGGAATCCAACTAGCTTATATTATGAGATTAATATTTA